ACACACACACACACACACACACACACACACACACACACACACACACACACACACACACATACCATGTATACATCACTTCAGGGGACATTACATTGACTTGGAGACTTATCCTAACCTTAACCATAACCAACACATGCCTAACCCTAACCCTTACCCTTACCCTTACCCTAACCCTAAACCTAACCTAGTCTTCACCCTAAAATTAATGATTCCCCTCATGGGGACCTCCATTTTGTCCCCATGAGGGAGGCGAGTCCCCACACGTGACTGTGTAAACAGATTTCGGTCCCCACAAGTATAGTAATGCTAGGACACACACACACACGCATGCACGCACGCACACACACACACATTGTTTTTGTGAGATGTATAGAATGTACATTCAAGAATATACAGTATTTATTTGTTTACCAATATGTATGTAGCACTTCGCAGTCCATTTTTTATTATGACCACAAAAAAACACTGACGTTGAAGTTAAATAAAAACTCTAACATCAGGGCCAGTCTGCGCAAAGTGGATTTTGAAGTACTGTACATCACCTCCTTATTGCTTTATTAATGCTCAGAATGCCAAATATAGAATCTTTAAAATAGTACATTGTAATAGTAAGTTGTACAAAAAAAAGTAAATATAACTAAACACTTTTATAAAATGCCTTATTCAGTCTTTGTTGTTGTGAACCTTTTTACTTTAGTGCTAAACACTTGGTGTTAGGTTGCAGACTAAAACTTTCTGAGTACATGGCAGCGTGTGGGTGTCCTGATTTCCTATATGTAGCTCGCTTTTCTCTGCCAAAACACCTTTTACTGTTGAGTGCAGAAACATTTAATGTGGTTGAACAATAGTCTGCAGTCTTTTCTTGGAGACAAGAGAAGTGACAAATGTTCCTTCAGCACTTAAAACAGTTTCTTAGAAACTACGAGTATAACAGAATTGTTTAATTAGTTAGCATGAGTAGGATCAAAACAGCAAACTCAAAACAATCCACTTTTCTTTTTTCTATTGTTAATCCTCAACTAAGTACAAGTAGCTATACAGGGGCTGTGACATTAACAAATAAATGAATATAAATTACCCTTAATTGCAATGGCACGTAGCCACTCAAGCATTCACATTGTAGTAATATTTCATCAGTTCCCTAAACAAGGAAAAATCACCTATGTAGCTACTATATTTTCCATCCCCTTGTTGCTTTGGTTAAATATATATATTTGTTTTATTGTCTCTGCTTTTAAAATTCAGTCATTCCTTTTGGATTTTTTTTATGAGCAAACATTGTCAATACCAAGGTTTTTGCAGCCAAAGAACAGTGTGTAGAGATTCAGGTCAACGTGTACTAATATGACCACAGACCTCTTTCTTTGTCGTTCCCTTGGAGCACTCTTTTTGACACTGTCGAAGCAAAGGTCAAGATTCCACGTGTAGACAAGCATTCACCTCCGCCACTTGGCTGAGGTCAGGCAAGATGAATTCTTTGTGTCATCTCTCTATGTGCAAGGTTAATCTTTCCCTACAATAGAGCAAACACAGAAGAAAAGTGTGTGCCTGAAAATGTGTGTGTGTTTGTGTGTGTGTGTGTTTTTAAAAGACATTGGTGCAACCGTTTTAACAGGGCGACTCTGTTTGAATTAGATGTTCTAACCCCCCACTTGCTAAATGGATTTCTGAAGTGGCTGTAGTTGGAGGCTTTCAATCGGATGCAACCTTGAGTCCTTTTTTATGTGAGCTCTGTAGGATTTAAGTGCTGGTATAACATGAGCACGACTGAATGCATGCTCCTCATTTTTTTAAATTGAAAAATCTCCAAAGGCTCTCCCCATTGTGGAGGCAATTAATGGAATGCTGGCAGCGAGGTTCAGGTGCTTAAAAGTTGTATTTTTCTCTCTCTATCGCTCCCTTTTTAATGACTAATAAAGGATAATCATCGTGAAAAAAAAACATCATAATGCTGTAGGCTTCCTCTTTATGCACAATGATGTATAATGCATGCTTTGAAATGAAACGGCAGCGGCCTTCGAACCATTCCATCTCCAAACCTTAGTGTATTTGCTTTGCATGCCACAGTGAGTCTTTTGCATAACAATAGTGAGTGTTCCCATTAACAATGCTTGCCTATTAATTCGATCTTTACATTTTTAAAGTTTGTCCATCAGGCCGCCAAACAATGGGTCCCCCAGTTGCTTTTTGGTAGAAGTGATTAGAAAGTTGGCTAATTGCCTCTCTGAAGAGTTGGGCTGCTTCTTTTTAGCCTCCTTGTTCTTCACCTGTGAGCCTTTGCCAGATTTAAAACTCAAAAACAGATGAATAAACGAATTATTCATCAATAAAATCTTTCCTTTACTTGGTTTTGAGATTCTTTCCAAATTATAAAACCATAAACACCTAAAGTTTGCCATGTATATAAATGTTATGTTCATAAATGTTGTATGTGAAGGGACTACGGATGGAAACTAGCTCAAAGCTAAAATCTGGCTCATTTACATTTAAAAGCATTATTTTGTTTAAAATGTTCATTAATGTGCTCTGTCCCGGTTCAAATAAACGATTAAATGAAAAAAATGAAAAAAAGAGTTTGTTGATCCAACAGTTTACAAAATCTAAATAAAATGCCAGTGACCGTTTAGTGCTTATTTGTTTTGATAGTAGGACCAACCACTGCCAAAGTGCAGATATCGTTTTTTTGCACCCAGCTTTATGACCAAATCTGATTGAATGTTATACACTTTGCCAGTTTCAAAAAATCTTATTCTCAGTTTCCTTAAAGCTTTGAATTTCTCCCTGCTATGCCACTGCTTGTTTTGGTGATTTCATGTCCTAATGTTTTATTGAATTAATCGTAAGGTAATTTTTCATTATGACGGAAAAATACAGCAAAAATATAGAGCTGCTGTATACTGAGTTGAGAATAAATAGCCTGCTATACATTCAAATGTTTAACCTACAGTAGAATGATATAATAAACCCAGCCGTACAGAATGAGCAAACCTTGTGTTAAAACATGTGGTAGTTGATTGTAAAAAAGTTTTTAATAAGGAAGAATAGAAATTTGAATAAATAATGCATACAATGTTATAGTCTATTAAAGATGTCAGTGATTAATCCAGCATGTGGCGCTGGGCGGCTCATTTATTTAGACAGGTTCAGCTTTTCTCAGGCCTCCTAAGCCTCCGGTCCTGCCTGATAAAGGACTGAATACCAAACTTGCTTATTCTAGTGTTCAGTTGCACATTTTTCTTGCAATCTTGGAACACTTCCAAAAGCGTTTGTTTTTTCTTGTGCCCTCAATCTCTTTATCTTTGACTGCGCTTTGACAATGCACGGAAGCATACAAGCGCATCTCGGTAAACACGAGTGATGTGGTTCCAGAGTTTAAAAGCTTCTCATCACTCTGGCAGACACAACTTGCGGCTGTTTGTGTGACGGAAAGGAAAACTTGTTTAGAATCTGACAGCACTGCATATGTGTGCAAGAAAAACTGTGTGTTTGTGTTGCTTTTGGCAAGTTATTCATTTGTGTTTTTTTCTTTTTTTTTCTTCCTCTCTGTGTGGTTATCTTTTGAGTCGGTCGGTTTGGAGATGATGTCCACCTTCGGGGATGCGCATAGCATGCATTTCTGAGTATTTTCACCTGAGGCTGCACTTGTTAGAGTCTGTGGATAAATGTATATACATTATTTATACAAATTCAGGGCAAGTGAAAGCAGGTTTAACACATTTACAGACAGGAGGCCAGGCACTGCAAGCCAAGCTCCAAGTGAGGATTGCAACCCTGCACCGGGGATGGAGCTGGCCTCTTGCCAGGCTGTGACCAGCATCCTTAATGCTGCACAAGAACATTATCATCAACTCCTCAGCAATCGCATAATCCCTCATAAAATTTGCATCAGGAAGAAAAAAAAAACCTTTGAAAAACAATAGATTTTCAAAAGTTTGGTTATTAAAAGACACGTTTAGTCTGAAATCTTGAAAATGTAAAAAGCTGATGTATGTATTGGATATACGGAAACAACGTAAATTCATGAGAAACACTTTTTTTAAATGATTATTTCTGAAGAGCAGGGCAAATTGTATACATGTATTTATTGGGTAATACAAACAATCTGAACCATTAGACTGATGGAAACATAGATACATGCAGGCTGAATCCTTCAAAGGTATATGGTTACTGTATGCTGTATTTTAACATCTGAACAATTAGGCTACATTTTATGTTATTTGTCTTTCTTGTATTTTATACAAGAAAGACAAATAAATATGAGCAACTGATTCTGATCTTAAAAAAGTGAAGGTCTTAAGATCATTCAATAAAATCGAGCTAAAAATCACTCTATAATAGCAGAAGTATGTTTTAATAAATAATAAAGATCTAATTAGTATTAACACCAACATATATGCCCGTTGTGGGAGGGAGTCAAAAGTTGGCATTGCACAGTTTTTTTTAAGTTGTATTGCTTTTGTTATTAAATCATTTCCAGTAATAGACCTAAAGTCTTCAATTGCATTACTGATTAATGCTTGAAACATTAAATAATGGGTTGATTTTAAAATGTTATATAGATTTTGGGGAAATATCTTACTATTGCATTAATTCATGATTTGAAAAGACGTTTAATTAGTTAAATCTTCTAAGTGAGGCTGTTTGATAGCAAGCTTTAAATGAAATGTTCGGATGCAAACAGTCTTATCCTAGACTGAAACACTGGAACGTAAAGCAAGTGTAAAATAAGTTAAGGCGTATTTTAGTGTCTTTCAACAAATTACACATTTTTTAAGAGGAAGGTTTCATGTGACCAAATTTAAAAACTAAATGTGCTTTATTAACACCCAAAAATACCTATTAGTTACAGATACTCCATGCTGTAATTTAACTTTATACAGATAAACTGTTAAATGTACCTGCCTTTTCCTAAAATCTACCAGTGAATTGTATGACTTTGTTATTACGTTGTAAATAAATATATTTTATTGATGTCACTTGAATCCCTGTTTCCTATCCAGGAGCCTGGTTCCTCAGAGGGGGATGCCCTGCCGGCTGGTTGTAGTCTTCATGTTCCCATGGAGCTGGAGTTTACCGCCTCCTGTTTCCCCCGAAGTCCTGCGACTCAGAAAAGCTATGGCCTCGTCCAAGTGGACTGACCTGGCTGGTGACTGTGATTGAAGTTTCATTTTTTTGTATCAAAGCTGGTGAATTGTTTTCCTTGTATTATAGCTATTTTCTCACTTATGATCCCTGTAGAGATGCAGCCCATCTGTGTTTGTATCAGTGCATACTGTACCTTTGTACTGTTTGTAACTATTTTCAGTTTTCTAGGGCTTTTTTTGCTTTAAACATTGTTCTTTTTTTAAGATGCGTTGCATAATAATGTGAGCTAAAGGCCTCAATTATAACTTTAATCTAAAATGTGTCAATTAAAAGTTTATTGTTTTTTGCATTTCTTATGCTTGTATTATTTTTCATGGCTTCACTTGCTGCTTGTTAGAGTGTTACTGTATATCGTCCAGTAAAGTGTGCAGTAGAACTGCATTCAGATACATAAACTGAGTAATGGGCCCTATTTGTAACCAGTCAGTGTGAGATGTCAGTCAGATTGAGTCTTTATGATATGCCATTCCTTTTTCTCTCCCCTGCTTTCCTGTCACTCTACTCTCAAACTATTAAATAAAGTGGTATGAAAAAATGACAACAATAGGCACTTTCACACCAAGTACTTTGCCGTACTTAGTTCCCAGTACTTAGTTCATCAGAACTCTTTAGTTCTGATGAACTAAAGAGCAGATCGCGTTCACACCGGAATAAGTCCCTGAGGGAGGATTAGGCAAATGAAGCCGCTGACGTCACTTCTTCTTCTTCTGCTTTGAGTTTACTGGCAGGCCGCAAACAACTTCACGGCGTATACTGCCCCCCAAAGATCCCGGCCGGAAGTCCCTTCCGAGTAAATCGCCAGAACGCCGACACCTCCTCATCACTCCACCGATCCCACGTTTATTTTGTGTTGCCATAAGTTAGTCTCTCTCCGTTGGTGCGCTGGGCTAATGCTAATGCTAATAATGCTAATGCGAGGAAATAAAATGGTGGCTTCACAAAACTTTTCCGAGTTTTACGGGGCGTGGTTTGCAATTGGCCCAGCCAATCAGAAATTGGAACCTTTTTCTCCCATGAAAGTCCCTGCTCTCTAGCAGAGACTAAAAAGGGGTGAAAAGGTTCCCGAAAAAAATGATCTGTTTGGTGTGAACGCAACATCCCAGGAACTATCGGAACTATTTCTGGGAAAAGTATGGGAAAAGTACTCCGGTGTGAAAGCGCCTATTAGTGTGCGCAGAAAGCCAGAATCTAGAGTTATAAGCATAACAATTATTTATTTAAATATGAGTGAAAATTAAATTAGTCTCAGAGAGACACTCCCAATGACAGGGTCCATGATAGGGGCAGTCAGAATATCAGCATGGGGGGCACAAGTCATAGAAAAGCAGAAGGGAAATAGCATTTTGATCTATTATGAATCCATGTGTTGACAGCTTACGTGCATGTGAATGCTAATAAATAAATGAATATATTCCTTGTTTAAGCATTTCTCTAAAGAGTTAATCTTAAGTTACAGACTGGTCTGTTGTAAAGCAAACTTTAACATAGATACCTTCTGACAAAATGCATATATTTTTTTACTTTTACTAAATTTGATTTAGAAAAAGCCTGCTGTTGCGAATGGAGCGTTGACCAAATTAATGTGCATGTCTTATTGCCTGCATGTGGTGTAGAGCTCACCTGTATGTATGTAAAGCACATTTAAAGCAGCTGCAGAACCTCAACACAGGTTTTGAGAAAGGTGTTGATGAAAAGATTGTCTGATGAGGGTGTCAGAAAATAGATCAAGAGCATCAATTGCTTAATAACATGGGATTTTAAGTTAATTTTCTGTACAATAAACATGCCATTGAAAGATTTCAGATTGTTCTACGGACTAATTGATAAGATGTTGACAGGTAAACAAATAACCATAAGTCATTGTGGGAGGCAAGCGTTGGGACATTTTGAAAAAACAGTAACAACAACGGTACATGTGAAAAGTTCCACATGAAAATACTTTAGGGTGCCACTTTTTAAGAAAAGAAAGCCATTTTGGACACAGCACTAGAAGTCACAGCTCTAAGGGGGAAAGATGCCGTCTTTGGTATAAGAGCAAACCGGAAAAAACATTGATGCAGATTGAGGAAAAAAACTTCCAACATCTTTCACACCTACTGTCTTAAATGCAATATCCTTTTCCATGTTTTTGACTTGCATTAACATTTAAAGGACAACAAAAAATATGGTGATTTCTTTAGTTTTTTAAAGCCCACTATTTAGCTCCAGACCTGCATCTCTGAACTAATTATGGAAACAAAACGAGAACATGCTACAGAAAACAAATTTATTCTGGCATGGACACCTCACGCCATGTAACACAAAGATGGAAACCCAGACACGCAATAAATTATCTTCATTATTAAGCGTAACCAGTGACATACTGTACATCAAAAAGGTAAAAGCACTGTAAATAAAAAAGGAGAGGAAATCTACAAAAAAGGTTGTAAGTGAAACGAAACCCTTATACAGCAATGCTTAAAAAAACAAAAGTTTAAATGCCAGCAGACACAGATAGAAATTAATATCTTAAGTGTGATTCCTTCTTGATTTTAGTGTCTCACGACATAATTTAAGTACTGCTCAAAACAAATAACAAATAAACACTGTACACACACCAAAGAAAGCGAACCAGAGGATCTTTTTTTCATTTTGTTGATTTCATTTTTTAGGAAATCATTGCTTTGCAATTTATGCTTCATCACAGTTCTCTCCCATATGACCACATGAATGTAAACACCTGTTGAATTATTCTTTTTTTAATGTTTACATTAATACTTTATATATATATTTGTACATATTTTCATTCACATCTGCACGGTTAGCTAGCATGGTAATGAAATAAGGCAAGACTCACATAACTGTGACATCACAATTTTTTTCCCCATTATAATACTGATTATTAAGGTTTTTGTAATTTCCTCCTTCTGTTTTGCAGCAGGCTTTGGTCTTTCCGGACAAAGGCAGGGTCGATCCTTCTCCGTCTCAAGAATCACACTTTGTTTTGTTCCAGTTGTAATGAAATACTCAAAAAAGAGGGTGTTTTTTGCAGGAAAAAGGGGCTATAAATACACTTTTTTCAGCTTACATCATTAATTGAATTTATTTAACACTGGTCTTTCTGAGGTACATAGTTTAAGATGATTCAGGGAGGTGGAATAAGAAACGGGTACGACAATATGACCATGAGGAGCAAATGACTTCCATTACAAGAGAAAGAAAACTCATATTTTTTCTTCTTATTGGCCTATCTATCATTTTGTTCAATAAAGACTGTTTCTTTTTTAGACTTTTTTTTTTTTCAGTTCTTCCCTCTCAGTTAGATCAAGCTGCCGTGGCAGGCATCTTTTGTGAGTTTGAAAAACAGATGTGACAGTAAGTTAGAGTCTTTGGCCTGGTTGACTGGCTGTCCGTTCGTCTTTACAGTACCAACAACAGCTAAAAGCTGGTTTCAGTGAGAGAGCATCCGGAGGATCATCGACCAAAAAAGCCACCGCTCTAGTCACAAAGCTGTCCGTCTGAAGATGGGTGGTGTTTCTCAGGTTCCTGTCTTAGCACAAATGGCATCTCAAAATGTCACCAGTGCCAAAACATTTAAGGGTTGTTCATTCTTAAGTTTCAACCTGCCAGTTTTGATATTGTGTGCTCGTGCAGACAAAAGGATCCCATCTTGAGCCACGTTTGTTTCAAGTGTTTTTCTCTTCTTACTTTTAATATTGTCTTTGTGGTTGAGGAGAAGAGGCTCTTCTTTCAGACTTTTTTTAATAGAATAAAGGGATCCATATACTGTTAGTGTGTACACATTATTTGTCTCTGTGAATGAGTGTTTGTCCAGATCTGTACTCCAAGTTGTAACTTGGAAATCTAAATGAGCTTTATATAAACAAGAGTTGCTATGAGTCTCTGCTCTCCATCCTCCAGGTCATCACAACTTTGAGATGGAGGTTCAGTTATTTGGAGTTTGTGTGCAGCAGCAGAACTCAAGATGTTTGCACAGCTGCATTATGGGTAGTGCAGTCCTCTCCTAAGCTCTCTTGGCATGAAGCATTTCAATGAGCAGGTTGTTGCAGGGCACGTCCCCGTTCAGGTGTTTGTAGTAAAGGTATTCTTCGGCCTGCAGGCTGATGGCTCGGATCTCTGGCAGCCGGAGGAGCAGCTGGCCAAACTTGTCTGTTTGTTGAGGATAGTTACACATGACGTAGTCCAGCAGCGCTGCGTTGACCTGCTCCTGGACACTCTCCACGAGGTGAAAGTTCTCCAGGTTCTTGACATCTATCAAAAGAACGAGAAAATGGTTAGATTGGATGACACTTAATCAATCTGTGGGTGCTGTTTGATTATAAGAAGAAAGCAATAACACATAATAATGAAGCCTTAACATAATGATACAAATTCCAAAAGTGTCACACAGCAGCTGAATGAATTGAAGGCATAATGTGCCCACAGTACAGTACTATCAGTATGGTTAGAATATGAGCACATCTAGTCCTACAGTATATTAAGGCCAAGTGTTCCTGCTCACTTTTAATGTCTCAAATGATCTCAGATTTTTTTATGGCAGGAACTTTAACTCAGGAAATTGTACCACCGTATCCTCAAGGAAACAAATGAATGATCCATGATGCGCTATAAATATGATGTATTATTATTATCATGGTTCATATTTAAAAGACAAAAAGGTTCCAATCTTTGTTTGTCACTTCACTTCTTTTTTGTATAACTCTAAAGAGGACTTTATCATGCACTGCATGACGAAATACCCCTTCTATTATTCTCTGAATCGTCTCTTGAGACGACGATGTAGAGGGAACCAGGTAAAGGCAAACCTCATCCCGAGAGATGAATTCCCTAGGAGTCAATGAATTATGTAGGGCACAGTTACAGTCATATTAGCACCAGAGCAGCTCCTTAACCTAACGCCTTAACCATCCTTTTATATCATAACAAAACAGAATGCGTTTTCATTATTTGTGGAAAAATAATAAGCATTGATCTTAAAAACAGTAATCACTTAAACTGCAGGTTACATTTAGAACCCAGACATTCATATTGGTGGGAAGTCCTTTTTCACTATTAATTCCACGTGCAAAATACATTTTGCATCTTTCCAAAATCCTACCCTTACGCATAGCTATAAGCACTTTTCCTTGACAATAATAAGCTCACTTGGGGTTTGAGCAGATTATTGCAAGACAAGACCAAAATGTGCTAAATGGATAATGGTGGGCCTGAGCGCTGCGTGTACTTGTCATGATTATGAAGTGCAGGGTGGCAGAATATTTAATCAGATAGCAGCTCAGTTTGAGTGTGTGTGTGTGTGTGTGTGTGTGTGTGTGTGTGATCTTTTATTAATCTGCTTGACCCCAGGTTGAGTGTGTTCACAGTGAGCTAATGTAGAAAGACAGAGTCCCTGTGTTTAGTTGACACCTCTGGACCAATACACCCACTGCCGCACACTAAAATACACCATCTTTCACGCCAAATCTCTGCCTTTCTCTCACAGAAGCTCAAACACTAATCCATTGAAATATACTATTTCTCACACAGTACCCCCTTCCCACACTCACACATACCCCATCCACCCACCCAGAGCATTAGGAGGGAGGAGGGGGAG